TCTAACGGCGAAAAGGAATTACGGATAAAAAAGAAGTAGAACGTACACACATATACAAACACACGCTCGAGTGGGCGGAGAGTGTGAGCGAGCGCGCGCGCTCGCGTGTGTGTGTATGTGTACAAGCGGATTGTGTGTAAAGGAAGAAAATGCGAAAATGAGTTTTTCCTCGGCAATTTTCTAACGGGGCTCAGACGTCATGCACACATACGGGTCGTATCAAGAGCGAGGGCGACGGCAAAGCGAAGAATATAGCGTGCGGGAGACGGTTGGCGGGAGTACGTATGAGTGTATGTGTCGGGGGGGATGGTTAAGGGCGGAGGGGAGGTTGAAGAAAAAACCGAACGGCGGCGGCCCTGATGAACGCTCCCGCTGCCGCCTGTATATACTTATATACACGGTATATATACGAAGAGAATGCGCGCGAATATTACCTCTCCACTACACATATCAAATCTCATTTCGCACATGCACAATCGCAAATTCCCGGTCGCTCGTACTCGCGCGCACCGCCAGTCGTCGTCTCGTCGAGGAGGGATCTCGTTTCAATTTCTCAGTCACCGAACCACGGTTGAATTATTCTTAACCCCTCTCCCTCCACCACTCGAACTTATCCTGTCCACCGCCGTGGCTCGGAGGCAGTTTACAGTGCATCCGCTACTGCACTATACACAGGTCGTATATACTTATACATATATACACGCGCACACACTAAAGAACACGTTGGAATCAATTTTGGACAAGTGGGCCGCCGCTTTCTGTGAACGTTATATATACATATGTGTGTATATATTCATTTCCTCATATACATATACACAGGGTATCCATAATAAACGTCAAGCTTTGCGTTGACGTATAACAAACTCACTATAATATTATGTAAGGAAAATATATGTATATATATATTTTTTTTTTATCTATTTTTGTGTAAATTTAAATATTTTAAATATTATAGACCATAATGGAACCACCTGCACCACTGCTAATTGTGTTGTCATTGATTAATTTAAATAAACGATGTTGGCCGGAGGAGAAGTATTGGGACCATGGTTCCTTCTCCAGTCCTCGATACAAAGGGGGAAAAAAAAGAAGACCATAATGGAACTAATTATTAGTTTTAAAATATTAATATTTCAATCAAAACGTCTCTGAGACACTTAGATAATTCGTAGAATTGTAATAAATATTTAAATATCCAATTTGTTTTAACACGTTATTAAATATTGTGATTGCTTATGGTTTATTATTTGATAAATTGTAACAGTGTAAAATACCTTTTAAATTATTTCAATATACCTACTAATACTATTTTTTATTAAGAAAAACGATAGTGAAAATCTAATCATCAAATCTACACCGAAATGTGTATAATAGACAAAATGCAATGTTGTATATACATTATATATATATCTATTAATAAAATTATACACTATACTAAAGTATATTTTTTTGGATACACGTTCAAGTGGTTTACTGATCATTTATACACATATATATATAAAACTATTTATAACTAAATAAATAATGTAGGTATTAAAAACATCAATAAAATCACCGTACTAGAACAACTAGTATTATAATCACAACAAGATAAATACAGTTTTAAATAATATTCTAATTTTGTTGTAAATTGTTGTTTAGGTTTACATTTTTTTTTAATTTTCTGGTGTAACTTGCTTAAGTTGAATGGTCAAAAAAAGAATAGTATTTTCTAATCAAAATATGAATAGCTGGGTAGTCAATTAGCATCTTTTAACAAAAATTGAAGTTATTTAATTTATATATTTTGATGGTAAAATGTAATTTGGAAGTCTAGACTATATAAAAATTTTATATTCAATAATGAGGTGTTTATTCAAATATATGACATAATCTACGGTGCATAACAATCGTTTACAATATTAATATACGGCTTTGATAAATGTAAATGTTATGTGTAAAACTGCGGATGCGTATATTATTACTTATTACTTATTAATAAAACATTTTAAGACATATTAACAAAACTGTCTGGATAATACATTATGATAATATAAGCACAAATTTAATAATTATTAAAATGTATTTCGAATTATTACGTAACCAAGAAAATTAAATAAATTCGAGATTTTTTAGTACTGAAGCGATTATACTCTACAATTTGTGGGTGTTTTGCTGTGAATAGTCGTTAAATTAACTTATTAAGTCTTATTATCTATTATTCACGTTATTATACATTACATATGTAAATGTCCATATTTAGCAAAACTAAATTTTACACAGTTACTGATACTGATTTGACCAGAATCTAACTATTATGACAAAAAGTTATTAAACTTGTAATTTTTTATTATTAGGGTTGATTTTTATTACTTATATTATAATTATAACTTAACTTATCTGCACTATACAGTGTGTCCCATAAGTCCCGTATCACCCTTAGTATCTCCGTGGAAAATCAATATATTTAAATGCCGTTTTTTTACAGCAATAAGTATGGACATTCTAATTGGATAGCATAATATTCGAATTTATTTTAGCGCAAAATCATCAATAATTCGACAGTGTACATTTTTAACTTAAAAAAATACATTTAAAAGTTAAATCACAGATATATCTATTTGATGCTTCAATATTAACGTGTATTATTTAATAATATATTTACTTAGGAAAGTTGCTTAAACTTTTATATTTACTACCTAATCAATTAAAAAAATAAAATGATTTTAAACATGACTAAAACGATAAAATGATGAAACATGGAAAATTATATATTTATGTTTTTATTATTAGGTAGGTAAGTATTAGGCATTATTACCTATTAATATAAATTATTGATATAGAAGCATAAACATTGAAATCTAGATAACAGGCGAAAAAAATTGTTTTGATTTAAATTCAACTATACCAAGAAATCAAATTACTTACACTATTGTTAAAAAAAAATCAAAATTAACTTGATTAAAACGTTTCCAACACAAATTGAATAATTTTGTTTATATATTATACCGAGTTATTATAATTTTAAGTCTAATATATATGAGGCCTCGGAAAATATTAGAGTTATTATAGTTATTACCACAATATTATAATATTACCATAGTGGCATAGTATCATAGTAGTAAACACTTTATACGCATTAACGTGTGTTTGGTAGGTTTCACTCACCCAACTCAATATTCCCTTACAAACCCCTTTGCTAGAAACAGGGATTGAAACTAAAACGACGACCCTCTTTTCAGCAGAAAAAAATCCGATGATAAAATCAAATGGTCAAGTAGTGAATGTAACTTAATAGGTTAAACGTACACAAGATTAGATGATACACGTGTAATTGAACCAAAATCACCCCAGAGAGTTTCCCTAAAATCGACAGTAGCATATTTTGTCCTTTTGGTTAGAGGGTATTTCCACAGTGACTGGGTGACAACTTTTTCTTTGTATTGCAGTATGATTTCAATTATATATACTTAATCCCCTCAAACAAAATGTCATCATATGAATCAAAACGTAGAAAATATATTATGTAAAAACGTTAAAGAAGAAAAATGATACATAGGTACCTATTCAAAAATAATAGTTTACTTTTTAAGTATAAGTTGGAATAGAACAAAATGATTTTACTAAAAATAATTTAGTAAGGTGACATTTATCTATAGGTAATATTAACTATTAACTTCAGTTAAAAAGTAATAATAACTAATCACACATTCTAGCATAAGTACTTACATCCAAAAGCAGATATATACCTACTATAAAACCTTCGAGGGTAAAAACGTTTTTATATTAATTTTAAAGTTGTAAATCGATTTTAACTTTTATCGTCCATACTTATAATAACACCCAATTAATATAAGTTATAAAATTATAACTTAATCATACGTTTGATTAACAAAGATACGACTATCAAAAATATAACCAATTAAATACACAACAGTTTAAGCCTTAGATACACTTTTTGTAACACGGCATCACAAAATATGGTATCTTACAATACTTGTTAATAAATAGTAATTTACAAAACCTCAGATAAAATTTGAAATAAAAAATAAAAATGTATGAAATATTGTATAAATGTAAAATGTACATAATCTTGATGATACCAAAGTAATTTTATAAGTTACCATGTTATAATATTAAACGATACAATTACATTGATATTTTATTGGTATATAATATAATCAAATGTATATCGTATATTCGTATATACATATAGGTGCTATAAAGTTCCTAGTTGTACAGCAGTATGCAATATATAATCGAACATTGACTACATTTAATGTCGAATTAATTTAAATAAATTGACAACCGCCACATAGTTATTATAAGCACAATAATAGTATCGAAAAAAAAAATTAAGCAATAAAATGAAATTAATGGGTTTGACTCAGTAACAGTTTTTAGCCATTTCATCAATACAAAAGTCCATACAGTTTTAATGATTCATTTTTCCAGCCGTTTAGACATTAATGTTAGAACTTCGGAAAAGATTTATTCTAACCAGGTTGTTTTTATAGCCCAAATCGATTTTGTATGCTAATAGGAAAAATATTCATCCATAATTTAACAAACGCTATTTTCCATTGGCTTACAAAACAATGAGTTTCATTTTATTTATGACATAAAGCAATTCACGAAATATTTCGCTATGCCTGGTTATATTTGTTTGTGTTTGAGAGAACGATTTTATGTAGGTATAGGTACAGCTAAAACGATACATCGAAAAACATTATCACTGTCTGAACGTATATTATAATACGCGTATAACGTGTCAAAGATTTGAAAGGAACATAATATAATAATCATCATTATACCAGGTATTTTGTCTATTTGTATGGTCTTTATAATAGAAATATTATTAAATATTATATCAGGCATATATTTTATGCTTGGAAGTCAGACGAGTTTGTGACCGACTACAAACAACGGAATTATGTCTTACACATATGTGTTTACATATATCTATTTACACTTATAAATTACTGACCATTATATAATTTACGAATTAAATAATCACTTACGGTAGCTTTGTTTAAGTTCTTCAAGGACTCGCTGAGTAACGCCTTTTCAGCTATTACCTTGGCTAATCCACGTCTGCGGTACGTATTCATGGTCCCAGCTCTTACTATAAGATATGTGTCGTTTAACAGTATAAATTCGCAGCACACTTGTAAGAATCAATTGCATACATCTTGAACATACAATATAAACATATATTTAGTAGTAATTAAAAAATAAAATAATAGCCATGGAATATTATAAATATTAAATCATCAATTATTAGATATAAGTATGAAAATAGTTGATCTGCAATGTTATCTAAACAAAACCTAGAAAAAAAAAGTATGAAAATGTAATGTAGGTCCTACGTGATGAAGCAAAACTGAATACAAAAGAACACATTTTACATGAGTTATAAGAGTATATGAGATTAAATTTTGATTTTCAGTGATTATTCATGAATATACATTTAAAAAAAAAATCCTGCTATAGTTGACTGTAAAATACCAGACTATAAAGTCTTTTTTTCTTCCTCTCAGTTGTATTAAAATGATTGAATTAATTTCTTTTAAGACCAATACAAATATTTTGAATTTATTTGAACATTTCAAATTTTAGTGTATTATTTAATCATTTAAACTTCTGGCTTTTTACCATATAAATATCACATACTTAATAATTTAAAAAAAAGTTAGAAATTATTATAAATATACAAATAGCACGTTATTGTAACATACAAATAGGCTAAGCAACGTAAGCTATTCAAATTGAAATAATTATTCTAATAAAAAAAATTATAAATTAACTTATCGGCTTTAAGATGGGTACAATTTGAGAATACTAAACAGAACATGTAAATGTTTTTGTTTTCTCTTAGATAAATTATATGCTAGGATAAATAAATATTATAATACCTACAATAAATATAAATAAATTGCTTATTCTAAAGACGTTATATTTTTACTATTTGTAAGACCATGTACATTACTAGCATTGCAGAACATATTACACTTTAAGAAACAGAAATGATACTAATATGTATAATTTGTTTGTTTATTTAATTAAAATGTATTTAAACTTTTATCAAAAATGAATTCAACATACGCATACCTATTACCTATAATTTAAAAATAATATACTTATTAAGCAAATATTTTGCTAGCCGTAATGCTATTATACAATATCATAGAGCAGGTATAGGCATCATTATTTTCTATTATATTATAATATACCTACTTAGATAGGTAAATAACTTATAAAAGTCAGCGTTATCAGACATCAATTAAAACTAGTTCACAGTTAAAGGAAAATATTGAAACAAATAATATCACATATTATAATCCTATAGCATAATTTACTTTATAGTGCAATCAATAATTCAATAACACTAAATTAAAAATTGTATGTGTGTTACTGTGTGTTACTTTAATAATACATCAATACATCATGCTACCACATAGATAAATTAGGTATTTTAAATTAAACGTTGAATTGTTGAAATGTACGTTGTCTATTAAACTTATCAGTGTATAAAATGTATAATATATTCATGAAATCCATAGCAAACTGAAGTGAAATATCCTTCAACTTCAGTTGATATTAAGTTAATATGCACTGATTATTTACTGTCTGTAGGAAGACTTAATGTAATATTATTGTAATTCAAAAATATATCTCATTATTTCTTTTGCGATGTTTCAATAGGTAATGTAATAAATATGTCAATTAAAAAACGTAAAGAATAATAATCTAGAAGCATTTACCTGTCACGTAGTGGACGTCTGGACAATATATCTTGGTGCTATGACCACCCGATATGATGGAAACAAAAAAAAAAAAACAATGGTCTATCAAGAAGAATACTAAACAACCATGGGATCGTTGCCTCAACATTATATATGTATTTGTTTTTTTCATTCGTGTTAATAAATACATGACAAACATATTAAATATATTTAAAATTTAAAAATAATATATGCACTCTACGGGGTTACAGACAACACTATGTCAATAAAAAAGTATGTACAGTGTATATCTGAAATTAAGAACATTATTTTATATAATATTAATACATTCTGTACAATATGTGGTATTTCAGATACATTGGTCAAAGATTCATTTTAATACGTTTCTTATAAGTTTTTAAGTATCGAAGTAATCAAAGCAATGTGTTTACCTACTTTATCAAGATTGTTAGTGGACCAGGTTATCACAGATAAATAGATAATTATACAAAACTGAATCAGATATTTAGTTTATTTTTGTAACTATAGGTATTGCTTTATAGTTTAGACTTTCAACACATCTTATACATTGTCACAATATATACGTCATGTGATTATGTCCGAGTGCAGGAGTGCTAATTATATTATAACCTTCGTTAATTATTTTTCTTAAATTATACAACTAGTAAACACTGAGAAGCAATAAATATTTAATAATATATTTTTTAAATGAACAAATATTATAATTTTTATTTTATTCTAATGTTTTATTTTATAAATTTGAGTTCTATGATAAATGCAAACCAATTTATCAAATATTATATTACTTATTACTTATTACTTATTAGGCACCTATAGGTATATTGTATTTTGTATGGATGGATAAATTGATTTCTCTAACAAATGGAACCACATAGAAGAAATGCAAATACAATAAAAATAATAAAAATTAAAAGTACACACAGCAGTTATATTGTAATAATAAATCATTAGTCAGAACCCCAAAGGAGATGTTTACACTAGGTATGAGCACAAAAAACCAACCAACCGATTGTTGAGGGAGAAATGACTTAAGACCTTTTTCTTCAATGCCACTCAGCCCTCTCCTCCATGTATAGATAGATACTTATTAATTTGAATGTTGTATGTTTACTTAGGCCCGATGAGATTAAATCATTGTTACCAGGTGTTTGTTCAGGTCAATACACTTATTCTGTTTAGCTTTTTTTGGTTGGTAAGTACGCGGTGACTTGCAACGGAAGCACTCCGTCTAAGTCTCAGCAAACGAAAAGATATTTAAAAAAAAAGAAAAAAACATTTTTTTGAGTGGTAGTAGAAAAATAACTTCCTCAACATGATCATTGACTGTGTAGCCAATGATCATCGCGAGTTATTTTATTTAACGGATATCATACTTTATAAAATATTATATAAAACTGCTCATGCGAAACATTAGCACGTGAAAAGCACTGAAAATAATGATAAATAAAACATTTAACGGAAGTTATGCATTTGCATTTGAGACTAATTCACACTCGTAATGCGGATGAAAAAGATTAAAAAAAACAAGTTCAATGACGATAATCTAAAGCAATTATTTTGCTTGAAGTAAATACCTAATCTAGTTCAATTGTGTAGTAGAAAACCCATCAATAAACGTCTTATCTACAATCATACTATAATTGCATGAAGATTAAAAATTAAACAATGTATTTTGCTATTTTGTACAAAATTTTTGAAGTAAAATCAAAAATGTTAAGAGGATGTCAGAGCAATATTTGTTTTCTCTCTCTGACCCACATGCAATATGGGTTGATTCACTTTATCATTAAAGCTAAAAATATACAGTTGGTTCTGCTGAACTCAAATTTGCCATTTAGTGCGTGGGTGAAAGAGAGAAATCAAATAATGCACTGATGATATCATCTTAAGTTTAAAATTAATTTTAAAAAAATGCCTGGGATTTTATTTTTATACATATACGGGTTTCATTCTTCATGAAAAAAAATATAAACAAAACCATAACATATGACTATACTTGTATTCTATTTTTGTTTTTATTTTAAAATGTTCTTTTTGAGCCAAAAAATATTTCGAATAAAAAAAATCAAAAATTATTGTACATAAATCTAGAAACAGAAGTCTTCGGACTTGCATAACAATTACTGTTTTTAACAACAAATAAACCTTTAAAATTACTATGGAATTGAATTCCATTAGTATTGAACAGTTTTTTTTACCCAACTTTTATTAGGTATCAAAATATGTAATGCTATATTTATAAGCCTTAGAGCGAAATCTTATTTTTTTATTTTTACTTATTTTAAATTTCATATAAAGAAAATTCTAACAGATTAGAATTTTCAACAACTAATATTCAAAAAATTTAAAAAGAATGTCCATCGTATCTAATTAACATATAGTGTTAACATACAAGTGTTATTGACAGTTTTCGAACTAAATATTTTTCCGACAAAATATTTTCCAATATTTTACACGCCTCCATAGTTTTCTCAATACTTTTAACATTTTTATTTCAATTTGAATAAACCTTTCATAAGTGGGTGATTTCAGATTAATGTGAATATTCTCGAGTATATGGTAAATACCTATTCGGTTCGGTTCATAAATCTAATATTTACATTTCAAGTACTTATAACAAAAATAGATTATTTACTAGTTAGGAAAGTGAAAATTCAGGCATGACCAACAAATATAAACTATACATACACTGACTATAATATGTAGTATAGCGAACTACTCAACTACTGTAACACTGACTTACTGCGGTACTTTACTAAGTTTTAATAAATATGAATTCCAAACATTAAAGTTTTTCAATTTCATATTTTTAATATAGGAACTAATTATGTACCTATGAATAATTTAGGATCCCGAATTGTATAGAAAGTAGCGATACGATAAATAATACTGCACTTAATATGAGAATGTTTTTAATACTAAAAAAA